AGTGCCAGGAAAGCAAGAGCAATGTTACCCTACCTGAGTATTGTCTTCTAGCAAGCTTCCAGGGGTTTGAGGCATTTTCTTTTCTCTTTTTCCTCCCCCTCTCTAATAAATGCAGAGCTTGGCACAAGCACACAATCCATGTCATCCCTGCTCACACCAGGAAAGGGGCAAGTGCTGAAGGCCAAACTGAAGGAGAGGAAGCAAGGGGAGGAACAGGGTGAGGGGAAGGAAGCCCAGTGAACAGGGGGAAAAGGAGAGGAAATAGTTCAGGGAGAGTAGCATGAGCTGGGGAAGGCAGGGCCAAAAGAATGGAAGGAAATCCTGGCAGAAATGGGCTATTTGGAAGCTGCTCCTTCTGTGCCTTCCCCTGGCAGATCTCTAGATCTGGGGATGGTTGGGGAGGAACTGGCTGGGTTTTGGGGACATGCTGGTTGAAAAAGGAAGAGGGACAGAGGACTAAGAGGAACCCTCCCTGCTCCTGACCCCAGAGCACCTGGCACACCTGGAGTGCTGGAGGATGAGATGTGGGTGCACCCAGCCCCCTGCCACACGCAGAACTGCTGTGGCTGCTGCACATGAGGCCTCATGGCTCCTTCCCCCTCCCTGGCCACCTTGTTCTTTGGAGGAGAAGGAAGGGTGGGAGGGAAAACCCATGATCCTGCTGGCCTGCTGCCAGTTGCTAAGGCAGTTTCTTCAAAAGGGAGGGGAGCTGTGCAAGGAGGGAGCTGCCTGGAGAGGAGGCAGATGATGCATGCAAGGACCAGGCACAGAGAGGAGCCTGCAGCCACCGGCAATGGAGACAAATGGGAGCTGGGGGCAAGGAGCCCAGAGGAGAGGGGTGAGGTGGAAAGGGGCAGGGGGAGCCAGGAGAAGCAGCTCCTTGCACAGCTCAGCCGTGGAGCCAGCATCCCAGCAGACCTGTCTCAGCTGATGGGTTTGCTGTGGCTCACAGCAGCTCTATGGAGCACTGCCTGTGGCAGGAGGGGATTTCATTCTCCAACGATTTTTCCTGCTGTGTTTCCTCTGGTGAGTACGGGATGTGTGTGGTCCAGGGAAGCTGGCTGTGCTGTGTGAGCAGGGCTGGCTGCTAATGCCAGGGCTGGAGGAACTCGTGTCCCACATGGATGTGCAGGTTGGAGGCAGGGAGTGCTGCCCCTCCTGGCTGAGGCCACCTGCAGCGAGGTGCACAGGGGCGCTTTTGCATCCCCTCCTTGCCTCAGTGTTTGGTTGTCTTTCTGCCCACACAGCATATACTTGAGCAAGGTCCCTGAAAGCTGGTGGCCTCAGCTCCCTGATCGTCCACTTGGACCCAGAGAGGAGCTTGGTGTGGCTCTCGATGGCCACGGGGCCGCTGCCCTGCCTCGTGATACCGAGCATCTGCAGACCTGAGTCAGTGCTGCTGAAACGAGCCACTGCCCAGGGCTGTGGAAATGCCACTCCTGGGGCACAGTGGCACCTCCCGAGGGAGGGAGGGAGTGTCCCTCGGTCCCCAGAGTACCCCAGAGCCTCGTCACCTCGAGAAACAAGGTGAGTGCCTCACTCTTCCGCTGTGGTGTTGGTGTGAGATACCTCGGACCTGAGCCTCATCCAGCCTGTGCCGAACTCCAGCCTGATCCCGCTTCCTCCAAGGGCTGCCTGTGGGCAAATGCCTGGAGCTGCCCTCGGGTCGGGGCAGACACTGCGGGGAGATGCAGATTAAAAGCCCAGAGCAGTGGTCTGCCCTCGCTGAGGTGGAGGGGTGCAGTGGGTGGGAAGCTGCCCACCTCAGGAGGGGGAAGAAAGGCTCAGTGCCCGGGCGTTCTGCGCTGGAGGCGGCTCTCACTGACAAGTCACAAGTGAGGAAATAAACTCTCAAAAGGTAGGTGGCAACAAAACCGGGGCAGCTTAGGGAGTGCAACAGCGGCATCTCGGCCGGCCCTGCCCCGGATCAGCGCACCAGGACCGGCCGTGCCCGTACGGGAGCCGAGCCCCCGGGGAAGGATTCGCCCCGGCTGCGCTTCACCCCTGCGAGCGCAGCGCTTGCTGAGCAGACAGAAATCCAATCCCGGGGCCGGCTTTAACTCCCGCACTTCTCCTTTCTTTGCGCCCGTGTCCCCGCAGCCATTTGTCCCCGGGCGGCAGCTGGTGCCGGGCCCGGGGGGCTGCGCTGTAACCCGAGCCAGCTCCGCAGCCGGGATGCTGCGGGCGGGACGGGCACAGCCCGCCGCTCCTCCCGCCGACTCTCGGCTCTCTGGGAATCCAAAATGGAGCAGGCGTGCTCCCGCGGGTGTGGAGGCGGGCGAGGCGTGCGCAGGGTGACTCATGAGCCGAGCCCGCAGCCGGGGCCTGCCCAGGGCGCTCCGGGCCGCAGAAGGCTGGGGGAGCCAAAGGCAGGGCCGAGATCCGGGCTGCAGGAGGCTGGGGGAGCCAAAGGCAGGGACGAGATCTCCCTCCGGACTGGCCCTGAAAGCAAACACCGGGCACCTGGGGGAGCGGGGAGGGCGCTGATAAACGAAGCGGTGGGTTAAGGTATCAGGTGTTTCCTGCTGGGATTTGATGGCCCGAAGGACGGGGCATTCCGTGCACTGGCAGCGGGCAGGTCCCGCTCCTCGGGAGCCGCTCCAGCCCCGAGCATCCCTCGGCACACGCGGGCCAGGAAGGGCCACCACGGGCACCTCTCCGTGCCGGGCAGGACAAAAGCCCCGCAGCAGGAGCGGCCCCGCGCAGGGCGAGGTTCCCTTGTTCTGTCAGGCGGAGCGGGGTCACAGCGCGCTGTCCGCCCCTGTCCCTCGCCACCTGCCGCGGGCGAGCACCTCCCAGCCCTCCTCCTGCAGCCCTCACCGGGTCTCGTCTTGCCCTGACTGCCCTCCTCCGTGGAGGGAAAGAACAAAGCCAGAATTTATTTTAATTGTTTATTGTATAATATAAAACTACAAAAGTAAGACTGCTCATTTCCATGTACATTTGTCCAATTGTTTTTTTTTGATTACAGCCCATACCTACATGTGAATACAGTAATCTGGTTTCAGATGTCTGTAATATTGCATAGAAAAGGCACAGCTCTAAGGTCTGTGGGAGGGGAAGGGGAAATACAGCCTTTTTTCTTTTTTTTTTCCTTTTTTTTCCCTTTTTTTCTTTTTTTTTTTTTTTTTTTTTTTGACAATAACAAGCCCTGTTCAAACAACCATGCACTGAACATGTCACACTATTTACACCTTTTCCAGAATCTTGGCCTTTGCAGGCACTAGTATGGAATACGCTCAGAACTAGATAGGAGTTGAGGTTGGGATTTTATCTGCAATTTGTGTTTTTAAAAAGGTTCCAGAACTTGCATTAGGCTTATTTTCAGAAAAAGAAAAAAGTGCTTAAAAATAACTAATTTATTTTAAAATGTTCAGTCTTGTTAATTAATAGAATATTGAAAGCAACTTGCACAGAAGCAGGATACTGAAGCCTGATTGGGGGGGGTTGGGGGAGAAAAAAAAAAGAACAAAACAAAACCAAACCAAAACAAACCCTGTAACAAGAACAAAAAGTTCAAAACATGCCAGAATGAATTAAACCATTTGTCAGACAGGACCCATTGCTATATGCTCAATTTAATAGTAATAAAGTGTAAACTTTGGATTCAAAAGTATCAGTTTTAAATAACCCAGGCTCTTACCACACGGCGTTGAGGAAAATCCGAATTTCTCCTGGCAGTGAGTGGTGGCTCCTGGCGGCGTTGCTGTCCGGGGGCTGCGGGCGGTGCCCGCACAGACCGCGGCGCTCTCTCCAGCAGGGATGCTCCCCTTCCCTGGCTCCCAGGCTCCGGAGGGAGTGCGGAGCCCCGGGCCCGGCTGGCCGGACACAGAGCCGGGCTTTGGGCTGGACAGGATGGGAGATCCTGCCCGGCCCCGGCTCCGGCACAACTCCTGGGGAACACCCTGCCCCTTCCAGGGCACCCACCCCAGGGAATTCTGCTGGGCCTCCCGTGCGTGTTTGAAAAATAAGGGAAGAAAACATCTTTTCTAAACCTCTCCCAGGCCAGCACGATGGAGATGACTGCATTTGCTGCTGCCGTCAGTGGCAAATTCCAGTAGCGTGCCAAGGGAGGCCCCTCTAGAGCGGCCACTGGGGGGTGGGAGCCTGATCAGAACTAATTTTGAACATAACCCTGTCCCTCCTCCATACCTTTTTTTGCATATTTCAAACAACCAGACCCATATTAGAAAAAGAGTGTAGGGAAAAAATAATCTTGTGATCCATGCATATCCTGACTGGAACTCAATTAATTCTTTCTGAATCTGGCTCCCATACCCTTTTTCATACAGATTTACATTCCTACAAGAGGATACATTCCTACCATACATTCTGTACATGTTACAATCCAGATGTTGTTAGCTTCACAATAAAATAAATATATTTACAGAAGAAAAAAAAAAAAGAATAAATAATTTAAGAAAAAAAAATCACTTCAAATCCAAAGCCCTCTTATTCTGCTCCCATCTTGTCACTTCATTGCACGTTAATGTCAATCTCCATCCCTGGTGTAGGTCTCAGAGAAATTCCATGCTTGGCTGCTGTTGGGACCACAGCGCAGGCCCAGCTGGAGCAAGTCAGTGACTGGGCAGGGGGAAAGCCACAGCTCAGCCCTTCGACCCAGGCCTGCAGCAGCCTTCCCAACCTTCTGCTGAGTCCCACAAATCAAGTAGGTTTCTGTCCTGTGGGATTCCTGCAGGGATTCTGCCCCAGGACATGTGCTTCAGCACCAAGGAGCCACAGACACTGCCCAAGCGGCAGGCTGGATTTAGAGCTCAGCTCCTGCTCTCTGGGTACAAAAACTTCCCTTCAGCTGACTCCCCTGAACAGCACAGGTCTCTGAGAAGGGCACTGATGGGAGCTTTTGCCTAGCAGGTGATATTTATGCACGCGTAAATACTCAAGTAATCCCAAAAAACAGATGGCTCCAGCGTCCTGCAAATCAGTTTTTAACCATGGTAAGGCAAGTGCCTCCAAGTTACCGAGCCTGGTGCTGTTCCAGGTTTGTGTTCCCAGGTTCTCGAGGTGCAGGGACAGAAAGGCTGTGGGTTCTCCTGCGAGGGCTGAGGACTGCTGTGGAACAAGGGCTGGGTGGAGCTGGAGCTGTCCCTCCCCTCCCTGCCCTCCCTTCCCCTGGTCCCTAACGCTACACTTGGTCAGTGGTTCTCCATTGAAGCATAACCTCCTTTCTCTTTAGTCTGTGTGGTGACTGCAGATCCACCAGCACCCCAGTGCTTCACGGAGCTCAGCTTGGGAAAAAGAAAAAAGCAAACCCACCCCCCTGGGCCAGTGCTCCCCTCCTCCCCCAGCCCTGTCTCTCCCTGACAGATGAGCTGGGAGCCAGAAGCGCCTTTCGCAGCTGTACATGATGCATTTCATTTCCATTAGGAGTTCCTTCATTGCAAAAATGTATTTGCTCTCATCCTGTGTCTGTGTGCATATCTATGTTACATCTATCTATATACTAATAAATATATATGGCCTGCTTTAAAGTGCCAATTTACAAAAAGCCGCCTCCTCAAAAGGCAGGCAAGACCCAATTTCATCCGTGACAAGAAGGGAGCAGAACTGACTGAATATTGCCAAATGACGTAAAACATAATTTAAAATTTCTTAAATAAATATAAAAGTTATTCCTAAAGAAGCCATAGGCATGTCAACAATACAGGTTGTAACCGGCACTCAACAACTAAAGTACCATTGGAAAACTAAAATGCCGTAGCAACTTCAGCAATAGGCATGATACATTGCAAACATTTTTTTCTTTTTAAATTAAATGTACACCACAACGAACTCAGGAAAAAAAACCAGCTATTGGTGCAGTAAGAAGACTTCTCAGGTGTTACGGGTGAGGGGACCATGCATAGAAAGCTGTGTCTGTATATTCCTTGTAAAACGGGTCTATAAAGTGTGAAGCAGGTAACGCAGTTGATACAAGAACCCAACTCTATACGAGATGCCAAGTGATGTCACACGACTGGCTCCAGTTTCGACAGCAATGGATATTGAAGCAAGTCCATCCAGTGCAGGTACGAGATGAGCTTCACTGCAGTAATACTGAAGCTGCCTTTTTCAGCACTTAGCACAGTGAGGTGGGAGAGGGGAGGAGAAATGCTCCAAGAAAGGGCGAGCGCACGCTCCCAGCCCCGCGCCGTCAGTCAGGGAATGCCACGGGAGCCTGGCTGGCTCTCAGGCTCCGGGCTCCCCTCACCATTGCCGGGAGCTCCGGGTCAGGAGGTGCCGATCTCCGCCGGGTTAAGGCTCCACGTGGGGCGGGCGGGAGCTGCGGCCACGGCAGCGCTCAGGAGCTCCGGGGTGAAGTTCCACAACTGTTTCCTGCCAACTGCTTCACATACGTGTTGGAAAGGACATGGCTCTAAGTTTCAGGAATCACAGTAGTGCGCAGTGGGTACAGCAGGGAGCAAACACTTGTGAAACTCTGGCAGAAGCAGCTCCCAGCCCTTTCTTAAAGCACTTTTTCTTTTGTTTGCATTCAGGGAAACCGACTGCAGGCTTATTTGATCCAATTTTCTCTTTGCACCATACACATATAAAACATTACAACTCTGTATAAAAGTACAAGTGGTTCTTGTACATCTGAATTATGCAGGAACTATGTGAGCAAATCCTATCAAAATAGCTATTTTTTTTGTGTGTATAAACAGCATTTGTTTTTAGAAAAAACAATACCATAAACTGCAGAATCTGTACAAAAATATAAAATAAATTTGGGCAGCAGTTTCTAAACAGCCATGTAAATGCAACACTTAAAGAGGAGCAGGTTAATGCCTCCAAAAGGCTGAATTGCTAAAGTCAACCTATACAGGGCTAAAATGGTATTGAGATTATCTAAATAATAAAATTTTTTACCTCTTGCAATAAAACTTATAGAAAAAATAGACAAGTATGCACATGCAATTTACAGCTTTCCCCAACATAATCCTTGTGCTTAGCTTTTACCTTTTTTTTTCTTTTTTTCTTTTTTTTTTTTGTAATAACATAACATTGTCTACAATACGTATTCTTTCCTATACCAGGATATTCGGTCTTCCTTGAGGAACCACTTTAAAAAAAATACATTAGAAGTGGTCATACATGGATGAAGGCACTCCAACTCTGCTCGAAGCAAAAACTAGTGTGATCCTTTTCTTTTCAAAAAAGGCAAGCAAGGATGCATGCACAGTGCTGTGAATCGGGGCTGGGAGGGACTATGGAAATACTACCAAGTGTATATACTGGTACTTAAAATTAAAAAAAAAAAAAAGAAAAAAGAAAAAAGACAAAAAAAAAAAGTTGCTATATTTCTAATATTTTTAAGACCCAACAAGCACCTCCATGATGTGATCCAGTTCTGTGAGATCCATTTTGAAAGGCTGATTTGGAGTTACTGGCTGACTGCTGTACGGAGCGAGAGTTTTTAGGAGCTCATCTGCTGAGACAGGAGCCATTTTTGAGGCAGCCCCCGTGGCAGACGTGCAGGGGTCAAAATCATACATGGACGTATCAATGTCAGCGAACAGAATGTCATCCAGGGTCAAGTCTGTGAGGAAACCTGTGGAAGCTGTTATCTCAAAGTTGCCAGGCAGGGGGTCCATGAGTTTGGATTCAGCCGTTCTGCTCTCCGGCAGGCCCTCGGGCTTGTGGATGTTGGACTCGCTGGGCTGGGCTTTTGAGTCGTCGGCTGCCGGCTCAGCTGCTACTGCCTCTGCGGAGGTAGGTGCTGGACAAAGCTCCTCGATTTCGTCCAAGGCTGAGGAGAAGCTGTCCTTTACTGGCTGGAGAGCAGGAGGTGGTGGCTTCGTCGGACCATCGTGCTGGACAGCCGGGGAAGTGCAAAAAGTGTCGTCCTCGAGCAGAGAGGCCGGGGTGAGGCAGGACTCCAGGGGCATAGTGCTTACCAGGTCGGCGGGGAGCAGGGGCGGCGAGGCCAGGTGGCTGAACGCCGGCTGCGCCTCGCGGAAGTTGTCGCTGAGAGGGTCGGCAGGCTGCGAAGCGCCCACAAACATGGGCCTCAAGCTGCCTTCTTGTTTGAGTTCTTCCTGGATTCGCCTCAACATGTTGTTAATTAAAACTGTCTTTTGCAAGCTTGGCTCGGTTAATGGCCTGTGGTTATAAAGTTTCATAAGGGAAATGTTGAAGATAGTCTGACGCTGTAAGGTGTAAGACACCTTAGAGGGACCGTCAGTGGGAGACACCACTTTGCCTTCCAGCCCATCTTCATGCTCGTCAAACTTCCGCTTTCCTCCTTTCCCCAACATATATCTGCAAGGGAAGAGAGGACACTGATGAAGGCAGCAAGGCAGGTGCACATCTGTCCCCATCAATAAGTCAGCCTTGGCGCACAGCAGCGTGATGGGCAAGCAGCAGCCACCCTAACACAGGGCTCTCTGGTCCATCCGTGTTTAGGCATGGCTGTGCTGGTGAATTCCAAGCAGGAATTCAGACAGCATCTATAACAGTCAAGATCTGGCATGCCTGGCAGCAAATTTCCTCTTCCTTACATTAAGCAAATACCTGTCCATAGGAGCATGAGCCACAGGCACTGTACTGAATGTTTCCTTACATTCCCTGACTGAGGCAGTGCTATGCCTGGGAATACAAATGTAAAGCACTGAAGTTCTCACAATGAATTTCCTCTTTTTATTGAAAAGTGTGTTCACGGGGGAAGGGAAGTGAGGCTCAAGCAATTGTGTGTTAAGAGAAACTTCCCCAGTGAGGTTGGGAGATCAGCCCTTTGGTACACCAGGATACACACATATGGGTTTATTTAGCTGATAGCCTAAGGACTAAAGTACCAGAGCAGGAAATGCAGTTATTATACTCAGAATTAGATAAATTACAGAAGAAGAAGAAGAAGATCTGTCAAGTCTTTTACTCTAATCCCCAAGACCACTCTCTGTGCTACACTCTGCTGCTGGTCAGATGGCAGATTTTGAAGGAAACAAAGGGGATTTTACCAAACTTGCCCCATATTATAAATAATTTCTGAGCTAAGATTAAGTAGGGCAGTTCAGTCCCCAGTGCCATCTCTTCCAGGATGTTTCAGAGTGCCTGGAAATGCTCCTCTACACAGCACAGTCCCAACCTCATTTTGTCACCATTATTTTTGTGACACCAAGATCCCTCCCAAATGCAGAGGAATGAAGGAGTTGCTGTGCTGTGGCAGTAGCATGACCTGGCATTATTCTCCCTCATTTTCTCAGGTAGGATGGTGAGGTGCTGGAGCTCTAACCCGCTCACTCTTTTAATATGATCACAAGGAGCTCCCTGTTCATTCTTGTATCCTTCCCTCTGTTTAACAAATTCTTCTGACATGAAGAAGTCTGCCTTGTTTAACGAGAAAAAAAAAAGAAAAAAACCTAAAAAAACTCCAAAAAAATGGAAGAGGCTTTCTAGCCACAGGTATCCAGAAAGAAGTTGCAGTGGCCATACAGATTTTTACCCCAGATCCCTTCTCACATTATGCAGCTATCATCTAGGAGACAAAATTTGCCTTCCTTATTTGAGTACAATTCCCAATCCACCCAGTGGGATTAGTGCCTGCGAAACAACTGCACCAGGCAGGTCTAACACAGTTTGATGGTCGCACACCAGTTCAGCAGACAGACAACACAGTTTAACATCACCAAAAATGACTGACCAACATTTAAGAGCAAAGAGACCCTTGGAAAGCAAGGAGGCTAAAGAAGTCAGGGTCTCAGTGCTACAAGAGCTTCAGAGAGCATTTGCTGGGCGGTAAATCGAAAACCAGATCGGGTGAAGCGAGCCTCTTCTGGTTAAAAATAAGTCCCAAATCCAGATAATTTTCTAGCATATTATGCAATTAAAAAAAGAAAGGGGGGGGAGGGAGCAGGCTGAGCAGAGCTGAGGAACAGGTAGGCTGCCATCCAAGCTGCTTGGCCAGCAACCAGCAATTCCTGCGCCTGGAATCTCGGGCGAACAAAACCTCTGAAATTTAGCACTGCTGCCGAAGTCTGGCTTTTCTCTGCTCCCTAGTGTCACTTCCATGGACTGCTCTGGAGCTGCTCACATGGGTCTGGGGGGCGAGCGGGGGGCTTTGCTATTCCAGTGTTCACAGCAGACACGCTTCCTTTCACTTCAGACAGATAAGAGTGAGAAAGGGAGGATGGGGCTAGCAAGAATTAAAAACCCTGCCCAATTCCAGCACGTTTTTAAAGCAGCATGGGGTTAGGAGGAGATGAGCAGCTTTCCATCCCTTCCTGCTATCTCCTCCCCCTGAAAAAAGATAGACTCTGACCTAAAGACATAGCAGTGCTTCTTCTACAATGCCCTATTTAAAGAAGACATTTTTAAATGGCTTTGGGACTAGAAGAGTTTGAAGTTTGTCAGCCTCTGCCAGGAATGTATAAAAACATTCCCTGTACAAAGCAAACCTTTTCCCCCATGATAAAGAAAACAGCCCAGGCTCCATTCCCTGTGCTCAGTTATTCATCATTGCCAGGTGACGCTGCCAAGCATTTCCAACAAACCCAACCGAGCCCATTTCCACCCAAGGCTGAGGTGCTGGTAGTGAACACTTATTTAAAGCTGATCAGTAAGAACTATGGGATCATTGCTGAGTAAATACTATGATAACCTCACTACGTCATTTTCCAGGAAGCTCAGAGATAATTCAAGATTTCCTGTATGTGTGACTGTCAAGCTTTCACATCTCACTCCATCTTCATTGTAGCTTGATTCAGAGCTTGCCCTTTTAAAAGATAAAATAGATCAGGCAACTCCCAGGCTCACCTACTAGCTTTTCAGCACAGCTTTCAGTTTCCTTTTTCCCCACTAATACTCTCTGAAGAGGGTTTAACCCCTAAAGCACCAAAGCAGGATGTCAGCCTAAGCATGGAGGCTTTATTCCACCAAGGAGAAGGCTCAAATAAACACTGCTAGACTCTTGGCTTTGTAAAGTTTTATTTTATCCCCTTCTCCTCTGGCATGCCAATAGGAATTGTAAAGAATGTTTTCCTCCAGTTTCCATAAATCACTTCATTCATGCCAAGCGAAGCAAGGAGGTGATATCTTTTTAGACCAACTGATAGAGTTGGTAAAATCAGACATGCTTGGGGGCTTGCAAGTCTTCCTCGGTTCTTCAAAAAGGAATTTCATAGTGTCTGACTATCAAAGCTTAAGACAATGTTGTCTGCTTGTTCTTTACAGTTCAAACCATCTCTTCCCTCCTTCAACCAATCACTTTCATGCCTGCATTAAAGGGATCAGTGTTGTATGTCTTAAGATAAAGAATAACATTAAAAAAAAAGGATGCTGTACAATACCAGCATTTGATCTCAATCAATTCTGTTCATCTCAAAAACTTTGCTTCTAGCCTTTCCAGCCAAACCTCCTGCTGGGAAAATGAAAATGCCAAACTTAAAAGATCAGCTTGACCAAAGATCAGTACATAAAGAGACAAACCCGCACCATCCCAGGTGTCAAAAGAGAGCTGTCCAACCAAGCCATACAGCTGTGACAAGGGCAGCCAGACAACACCAACCCATCCAAACGTGGCACTGCACAGGCAGAAATAAATGGTAATGCTCATGGAAGGTCTTTCATGCATCTATTTTGCCCGAGCAGCAACCTCAGCCAGATGTAATTCTGCTGCACTTTCACCCATTTGCTAAACACAATTTTGAGGCTGGGTGTTAAGAGTTGAGACTGGACGTCACTTTGTTGTTGTTGTTGCTGTTGTAATAAAGGGTGTTGCAGGGTTTTGGTCTGCAAGTGAGTTTTCAATGTTTCTTAGGTATGTGGAAGCAGAAAGCTGAAGAAAGACAATGGAAAAGCTGCATCTTTCTGGAGATTGGGGCGGGGGGAGTTACTTGGAGATCTTCCCCAATATTATCTACCAGTTGGCTCCAGCTCTGGAAGACCCAGAACCAAAAGCTAGACCATTGTTGCTGACAAAGATACTACTTGCTTTTTTGCCCATTTAGGGCGATTGCACGCGCCTCAGCGCCAGAGAAACCCTAGCATTGTTTGGGAGCTGTCTTTTCTTAATTGAAAAACAAAAGTAGTATATTTTTTTCCTCGTTTGCGTGTCATTTAGCTTCCTTTTATTGGCTCTGCATGCTCTTCAGACAGAGCTGGGAGAAAAAGCAGTTGGGGCTCAGTAGAAGAGATAATCAGCCTGGAGTGGAAGGTTCTCTGGAGTCAGCCCTCAGCGATGAACGGCAGAAGAGCTCGTGCAATGCCTGTGTCTCTGAGCCCACCCAGTGATGATGAATCCTTCGCTCTCAGGAGGACAGAGGTACGTGTAGACTGTGAGAGGAGCACTGTGTTTATTGATTGTGCTTTGGACACTTCAACACTGCCAGATTATTTCTGAAGTCTTCAGTAATCGGCACTTTGGCATAGAAAAGCACCAGATATGTAAAAACTGAGAGGAAAAGTGATTTTGCCCAACAAAAAACCTGTAATTTTAATTCTCAAAGACTTTTAACAATTAAGTTTAAAATACCTCTCAAGACCGAAAACTCATCTTGGAAATCAATTCTACAATCCACTAGGCCCTCCCTGCTCATCGAGACAGACAGGAAGGAGAATAAAAAAAAAAAAAGGAGGAACTGAACATCAAGAGAAACAGCAGAAAAGGGTTTTTACGAAGTCACATTTCCACTCACGGATTTACGCCACCCCCTCTGTCAGTGTAGAGGATGAACAGCTTATTATAAATTATAAATAATTAGCTTATTAGAGTTGAGGTTACTTTTAGAACAAACATCATGTTGCTCAAAAAGGTAAAAGCATCACAAAATCCCTGAGTCCACAGGCAACCATTCCCCTCCAGGCAGCCAAACACCGAAACACAGGTGTGAACCACAGGGGTTGTGAGAGGAGTTTAAAGCAGGACCAGCTACTTTCTGAAGTCTTAGGCAATTCAAACCACAGGGGGGTAAAAAAGGAGAGAGAAAGAAAAAAGCAACTTGGGGGAATTAAAATAAAATGCTACTTCACACATGTGCATGGAAAAACCCAACAAAACCCCAGAACACCAAAGCTCCCCCATAAGAGCCTCCAGAGTGCAATGAGAGCACTGAATTTGTACACTTCATTCCCACAAGTTCACAAACCTCAGAGGTAAGTGACCCTCACCAGGTTTTCTCAAAGAACCTACCCGGTGAATTGTGGAAGTGCTTTCTGTGTCACTTCTGGCACATGAAATACAATTTTCCTCTCCTCCATCCTTCACTCCTCATCCTTGAGGGGTCCATTGGTTGTATCCTGGCTCAATGGTAGTCAATGGGTGTTTT